TACGTGAAGTTACGCAAAATAATTTTTATTTTGTGTAATTTCGCAGAATTACGCGAAATTGGCGAAACTTAAATTTCGCGAAATTACGGAGTAATCGTAATTTCGAAAATTTCTACATCGTAATTTCGCGTAATTAGCGAAACTTTGATTTTGCCGTAATTTCGCTTTATTTCTACAAAAGTAATTTTGCGAAATGTTGCAATAATTACGCCTAAATAGCGAAACCTCCATACAAACCAACCTAGACAGGAGAACATTTTAACCTTCCAGGAGAATCTAAATACATCAGAGATTTTATGACAGGAATTAACAGAAAATAGTTCTTATTTATTTGTATAACTGTAATTCATTGTTCAAAAAAAGAGTATTGTTTATTTCCAATTCTTTAAAAAGTTTAAATACTCCTCCTTAGAAAAGCCGCCCCCCCCCCCTGATTAACGTAAAAGTTCGTTAATTAGATTGACCCTCACCACCACTTTGTCACTTGACATATAAACTAAACAGTTTGTTTGTTTTCAATCAAAATTTTCAATTTTCAATCCAAAAAAAATTAAACAATCAATTTTTTTTTTTTGTGGTTTTAACATCGATTTTGATGGTTATTACATTGTTAGAACTGACGAGGGTCAACCTAGACCAAAATATATTTCAATAAAATGTGGAACTAACATCTACTTTTTTTTACTCTACAGAGGTTTATTCCATCACCATAAACGAATTTTAAATCAAATTGAAAGTATTTAAATTATCCAATCAGATTGGAAATAGTTGTAGCGCATATCCTTACACAAATTTTCCCGCTATATTCATTTCTGAGAATTAATATGTACTTTACTAATTTCGGAATGGTTTCGTAATACGTAATTTCGCGTAATTACGACTTAATTACTCGAAACTAGACTTTCTTTCGTATACGTAATTAGCACCTAATTTCGCGTAATGCTTCACGGTAAGTGAAAGAAAGTGTTGCTCTTAATTACGCATAATTACGTGTAACGTAATTACGACTGGGAACCCTATTTAAAATCCAATTTTAGTAAGCTTTCCTATGGGTAGGCAACGAATTCTGTTAAAAATAGCAGTATTTAAAAACCTTGCGGAAGATTTTTAACAATAGTTAACCCTATCCCAATTGGGCTATTTTTGTCTAATATAGATGGGGGGGTGAGGGTTTCCACATCATCCCCCCCCCCCTAAGATGTTACCCTTAGAGTTGAAAAAGAGGGTAGAGTGACGGCTAATTTAAGAAAATGTACCTCTAACTTTATAATAGTTGGGGTGCTAGGTAGGGGTTAAGAAAGGTTTTAAAAGTGTACGTCGGAAAAAAGTTAAATTTTGACTTATAAACAAATATTGATATGTGACACATGTGATTTATCCATTTTAAATGGCTAAACAAATAAATAAATTTTAGATATGTAGCTTTATCAATACAAAAGTAATTCTAGATTTTGGACCACCCTCCACCCTACCTTCTATGCTTAAAACAAAATGTTTGTTAAATTTGTTTAAAAATGTTTTAAAAGTAAAAAATTTTGAGCGTTCTAGTGTAAAGGGGGGGGGACAAAGGGAAACTTTAAAAAGAACGGGATGAAAGTTTATTGAAGAACAAATAGAGATTCATGTTAGACATACACAATTTTTAATGATGTATAATTACTGAGTTTGAGTTTAAAACCGATGTTCAAAATCATCGGTTTTAGTGGTTACGTTTTAAGAATTGATTCTTTTTAATTTTATAAATAACAACGACATTAAATGTAAACAAATTCTTTAGTAAACTAATTAGATGTTTAGGAACATATTTTTGAATTAAAATGTTCTCAATAAATCAATGTTGAAGCAGTTATTTATTGGTAATCATATTGAATTTATCATTCTTTACAAATTTGTTCGTAGATTTCTTCAAATTCTTTGAATGTCGTCTTTTTAATAAAAATTGCAGGAAATCTACAGAATATATGTCTGTGAACACTGAAACATGACAGAAGCTAATTACTGAATAAAATTAGTTCTTTTCGATGATAGGAGTTAATTTTTACATTCTCAATCTGATCTATATACAACTGATTAATTTACTGTCGTCTTTTTGTTACATTTTTCGTCGCGTCATTGAATAATTTTTAAAACCCGATTCTCAAAATTATTCCTCCAAAAGGGACAATCTAAGAAGATTTTAAAGATTGAATTTGCACTCTAGCTGAACAAATATGCGCTTCATCAACGTCTGATAGGTCTTAAATGAATACTAAAAAATTACTATACAATACTACTTTCTCAGTTCAACCATCAAACAGTGCCGTTCACTCCCTTGAACGCTAAGCTTGTTATCTAAATATTTAAATTTTGTATACCATTTCTTTTATTTTCCCCCGTTTAGAATTATTAGAAGCATATAGCTACTTCATTGTTGTAAAGGGATTGAAAGCATAATTTCAAGTGACCCTTTATGCAAAGAAGGCAACCTTAATATGATTTTCTCTGAATTTCTACAGTTTAGAGAAAAAAATCATTGATATATCTTATTCATGCTTGATCAGACAATGCTTTAAAGGGTACCGTTGTAAATTGGGCTCTGCCGTCTTTGCATGGAGAGTCACTTAAATTGCGCGAACAGTCCCTTTTAAATGAAGCAAATAATGTTTATTTCTAACAATTATTTCAGTCATCTTACTTTGCATGGCGTAGCATGATATCAACATTACCAATCTACCTTGTTTTGAGCATAAGATATGCATACTGTTTCTTTGGATGGGTAGCAGTTACAGGATATCTTCTTATGACTATTTGCAAGTTACTTCTTATTCACCAGGTAAAATCTCTTGGAGGATCTGAAGTGGTTTGGTCTGATTTAGACTTATTACGACCATTTAACTTCAATAAATCAATCAATCAATCAATCAATTAATCAAATATATGTATTTGAACAAACTACAGTAAACAGTTAAGACAGCATTTTTGAATGAGATATTATGACATACATATATAAGATGGGGTTTTGGTTAAATAAAGTAGGATGTATGTTTAAGGGGCAGCAACCAATTATAGACGTCAAGGCTGTCTAAAATTTGAAAAAAGACTTGAATTATGGCCACAAATTCTGTTTTTCCCTATAACTTTGTAGTAAACCCATGAATTTTGTTGTATCAAGTAAATTGAGTTGGAAATATCAAAGGTTTACACGATAAGGTTGCAACAATATAGGAATTAGAAAACTCAGTTCCTTTCAGAGCTGTCTAGCCTGGTTCATTTATACTGTCTATAGATATCAGTAAACGTTGTTTAAATAAATGTTATCCATGTTAACTTTTTATTTAGAATGACTGGTTCACGTCCTTTGATGAAGAAGGTGTAGCAAACAAGAGCATTGCACTTATCTGTTTATTCTACTTCATCGTCTTATCTACTTTATTCGGGTCAGCTATTTCAGTTGGAGGTAAGATAACCTTGCTACAAAAAAATGTCTGGAAGACATAATTTGACCGGGTCAAATACATTTAAACACATTTCTGACAATTTATCCTAATTTAACATTTTTTATATGCAATAAAAAATTGTTTATTTTGCAAGAAAAAAAGAAATTCTAGAGAAAGTATCCAAGAACTTCCATGGAAACTTGTTTTAAAACTTGATAACAGAAATTCGGAACAAAAATCATGTGAATTCTTAAGATTTAATTAAATTTTAAGGAATACGTTGAGAGTAATGAATAAGCAAAATGCCTAAAAAGCCAGAAAAATTCCAACGAAATTTTTCCTGAATTGGCCCTTAAAAGTGGTATAGTAAAGTGACCACAAACCACATAAAGGAAAAACTAGCAAATCCATTAAAAAAACTAACATAACTCTTCATTTTCAGAGGTGTCACAAGCAATTGATTCATATGGCACTAAATGCAGTCAAACCACTCACTTTGACCACCTAAGTCTATCCAATGGTTTCTTTTTAATTATGAGCTTTGCAGTTTTTATTTTAGCCAATTTGTACATAAAATGTTACATGAACCAGGAAAACTGTCAAGGGTTCAGGGCTTTCTTTTGTAATGAATTGCCTTCTTTCAAAACAGTGACTGTAGGAGCCTTGACTGTCGTAGTGCTTGGATTTTTATGGTTTTCCCTTTGGATCATGGATGAAAACGTTTCAGCATCTCTGCAAGTCATTGCAATTTATGCTGCCCTGTGCCCTTGTATTGCCCTCATCCTTATTGTGATAAAAGACCGGGAATTTACTCATCCTTTTTTGGTCGGACAACTTAAAAGAGTTTTGCAAATTCTTGGCCTGAAATCTCAAAGTGTAGTTCCTGAGAATACAAACATGGGCATAATGGAGATCAATCCACACAATGTTGGACCCACTCTTGGCTCTACCAGGATATATGATGACGGGGGGATCTATGTAGGTATCAAAATCAACCAAAGAAATTACTTTTCGTTGACATTAATCAAATATTTTTCAATCTAGGCTTCATGGCAATTCGCGCCCATCTTCTGTTTCAACTTTTAATTGCTACTTAATCTATCGCAAGAAAAAGATAAAATAATTTTAAATTTTTTTCAAGGAATTTCAAAATTTATAGAAAATTTATTAAATTTGAAGACGCCTTTTTGTAATTCTGAGCATCCATAAACCTTCCCTGGGGTTTTTGAGAGCCTACACAAATGTTGGGGCAAATATTCAGCCGTTTTGACGTTTATTGGATACAAACAGTCAAACAAACATACACCCGCCCTTAGACGCAAGTATATATATCGAAGGTGTCATAAAATTGTCGTGAATGATTGTGTTGTTCAGAAAGATAAATTTTAACGATCAAACAACTGGGAGCTGAAAAGTCGATTGTATTTTTAAAATTAACAAAAAAGATCTTGAAAAAGCTGTCATTTTATTTTTAAATCAGAAATACCTCAGAGGAAGTTTGATTTTGGGTGGCGGAAACACAATGCACATAATCCTTAGCTGCAGATGTGTATTAATATCATTTCTTGAGAACTGTGTTTAACAATGTGTATTTCAAAATCTACAGGGACAAGGTTGGAGGAAGAAAACTTCATGAAGCCTCCCCCAACCCCCTCTTATAGATTTCTTTAACATTTTACAACTTGATCTTCTTGATTTAATTTCTGTTTATTTAAAGGTCCTCCCTCTACCTCAACTTTTCCTCCAGTTGCTCAACCTTCCTCAACTCTTCTGCAAAGAGAGGCACCACTCTCAAACCCTCCACAAGCTAAATTATCTTCTTATTTTTATCCACCAGTAGAAGATCATTCCTTCTCGATTCATTCAGTAGGAGTACCTTCCCTAACCTTTCCACAAGAAAAAGCATCATCAACTCTTACTCCTGTAGAAGTACACGTTTCTGCTCATCCTGCAGAAGAAGTATCCCCCTCTACTCGTCCTTCAGAAGAAGAAACCCCCTCTACTCGTCCTTCAGAAGAAGTCGTCCTTCAGAAGAAGAAACCCCCTCTACTCGTCCTTCAGAAGAAGTATCCCCCTCTACTCGTCCTTCAGAAGAAGAAACCCCCTCTACTCGTCCTTCAGAAGAAGAAACCCCCTCTACTTGTCCTTCAGAAGAAATATCCCCCTCTACTCGTCCTTCAGAAGAAGAAACTCCCTCTACTCGTCCTTCAGAAGAAAAATCCCCCTCTACTCATCCTTCAGAAGAAGTATCTCCCTCTTCTCGTCCTTCAACAGAATTATTTCCCTCTACTAGTCCTTCAGAAGAAGAATCCCCCTCTACTTGTCCTTCAGAAGAAGTATCTCCCTATAATCGTCCTTCAGAAGAAGTATCCCCCTTTACTTGTCCTTCAGAAAAAGAACTCCCCTCTACTTATTCTTCAGAAGAAGTATTTCCCTCTACTTGCCCTTGAGAAGACGTATCCTCCTCTAGTCTTCCTTCAGAAGAAGAACACCCCTCTACTTGTCCTTCAGAAGAGTAATCTCCCTCTAATCGTCCTTTAGATTAAGTATTTCCCTCTGCTTGTCCTTCAGAAGAAGTACTCCCCTCTACTCATTCTTCAGAAGAAGTATTTCCCTTTGCTTGTCCTTCAGAAGAAGAACCCCTCTCTACTCTTTCTTCAGGAGCAGTATCCCTCTATTATAAGAAGTATTCCCCCTTTACTTGTCCTTCAGAAGAAGCATCACCCTCTACTTGTCCTTCAGAAGAAGAAACCCCCTCTACTCGTCCTTCAGAAGAAGAAACCCCCTCTACTCGTCCTTTAGAAGAAATATCCCCCTCTACTCATCCTTCAGAAGAAGTTTCCCCTCTACTCGTCCATCAACAGAAGTATCTCCCTCTACTCGTCCTTCAGAAGAAGAAACACCCTCTACTCGTCCTTCAACAGAAGTATCTTCCTCTACTCGTCCTTCACAAGAAGAAACACCCTCTACTAGTCATTCAAAAGAATTATTTCCTCTACGAGTCATTCAGAAGAAGAATCCCCCTCTACTTGTCCTTCAGAAAAAGTATCCCCCTTTACTCGTCCTTCAGAAGAAGTATCCCCCTTTACTCGTCCTTCAGAAGAAATATCCCCTTTACTCGTCCTTCAGAAGAAGTACTCCAGCTCTACTTGTCCTTCAGAAGAAGTACTCCAGCTCTACTCGTCCTTCTGAAGAAGTACTCTCCCTCTGCTTGTCCTTTGAAAGAAGTATTCCCCTATACTCTATATTCAGAAGAAGTACTCTCCTTTACTCATCCTTCAGAAGAAGAACTCTCTTCTACTCTTCCTGTAAAAGAAGTGTTTCAGTCTACTATTCCTTTAGTAAAAATACCTTCTTCAACTCATCTTTTAGTATTGGCACTGGTGGCCTTTTATAAGTATCTACGATCTACCACATTTTTAGGCAACTATGCAGAGTTTGTCGCAAAGACTCAATATCAGTCTTAACACATTGCTGGCTGTCTTAGAAGAGGATTTTTGCCAGAGGTGCATGCAGACAAATTTCTGTATACACCCGATTTTTAGTGTAACAAATGCCACATTTCCTCTATATATATGCAGGGTTACCCATACAGGATGAGACAGTAAAGATGACTTGAAACTCTTGAAACATAATGATTCAAAGTTAGAATAAGGTCTTCTGCCTGAAGTGTGGCCTTGAAATGTATTATTTGAGGATTTTACAAAAAAAAGGAGTTTTTACTTGCAGGGAATCGTGAATACAAGGAAAGAGGCAGTAAATTCCGTCTCATCCTTTGTGGTTAACCCTGTATATCTATCTGTCTACCTATTTTATATACATGTTTAGTACATATCTGCATAAATGTATTCTATGTAAAATAAAGATTATAAATAAATTAGAATCCTAAATAACACAAAAAGATTGATATCCAACTAGAAATTAGAATTTTAAATAACAGAATTGGAGAGAGGTCCAACTAGAAATTAGAATCCTTAATAACAGAATTAGAGAGAGGTTCAACTAGAAATTATAATCCTAAATAACACAATTAGAGAGAGGTCCAACTAGAAATTAGAATTCTAAATAACACAAATAACACACTTCAAAAAAGTTCAAATGAACTTTAAAAATAGTTACAATTAACATGGGAATTTTTGACTACTTCTTCACGACCTTTGATATATGCATTTTTTGATTTTTTAAAATACACATCAGGTTATTAAAAATGTTGCAAAAAGTTTTACTAAAATTGCATGATCAAGTGCTTTTCTAAAATGTATATATTTTTAGTTTTTGGACATTTTTTTGCAAGCACTTTTACTATTTAACTGGATTTTGCAAAACAAATTTCAATAAATGCAAATTTGCAATTTTTCTTTTTGCAGATTCTAAAATATAGGACATCTTTAGTATATTCAGTACAAATACTGAGATTATAGTATACAGGGTGTCCCAAAAAACATGGGAATTCAGTGACGATTTCAATATCGTCTTTAAAATAATTCTTTGATTTAGTATAGTGATACCTACTGAAAAAGCTGTAATCTATAAGAGTTTCGTCTGCTATGTTCACATTTTGTTTGTTTATGTTTTGACTGCATACGGTTGTACTTAATAAAACAAGAAAATTGCAGTATACAAACAAAGTAAACTTATCCGTCTTCATTATTCATCTTGCGGAGACTTTATAGACACATCTTTACAGCCATTTACCGTTTTCATAAAATAAACTCTAGCAGACATAATAATATTATGGCCTTTGAAATTAGGTATTACAATGCTAATTCATAAAAAAGACGATATCGAATTCGTCACTGAATTCCCATGTTTTTTGGGACACCCTGTAGTTGTAAAATTCTCATTAAAAAAAATAATTAAAAAATGTTTAAGGCGACATTTAATAAATTCTTCCGATGTATTCTATTTATAGGGTTTAACATGTAGCATACGAGCTTTCAAATGATGTATCATTTGTCAAATTTGAACATCAAACATGGGATTTAGAGTGGGTGGGGGGATCAAATGACCCCCCCCCCTCATATCCTGCAGTGTTCAAGTACCTCAGCAGGGGTGTTTACAAACGGCAAAAACCGTAAATTTTCTAATGTTAACTACAGCTGTTATTGAAAAACATAAACATTTGAAAAAAATATAAATTCGGATGTGTTTCAAAATAACGATAACTTTTATAATTATTTTTTTTTCTGCTTAAAATTGTATGAATTGCATTTTTTAAATGTCGTCTTCTGTTTTCTCCTGCTTAATTTTTAAATTATAGAATTTTATGTATTTTTATGTGTTTTTTTTTCGTGTTTTATGTTATTAAATGTGACGAAATATATATCAATCCTTAAGTCTGTAGGATGTTGTTACAAAGCAATTAGGTTAAATAATAACTTATAAAATCACTTTTAAATTGGTCTATATACAGTATACAGTCATAACCAGAAAACTGTGGAATAGGAAGACGACATTATAGCTTTTCTCAAGTGCATTTGATGTTTAAAGCAAATAGCTTTACTTGAATGTTATTAAATTACTTATTTAGAAAAATGGGTCTGTTTACATTTCTTTTTAATTTAATTTCTGTGCCTCATGTTAAATGCGCTATTAAAAGTCATAACTTGAGTTTAAAAGTCGACTTCCTAGTCCAGAGTTTTCTGGATATCACTGTGTCTTAAATTTTTTTTTCTAGCTATTTTTACAAGAAATAATCGTTAAAGCCTCGTTAATTGCTGACACTATTGACAATTTCTAAAATATCATAACAAAACGTTAATAAATTGCCAGAACTACATTATTTGACATACTGTCCACAACGTACTATTCTGGGAATGTAATTTTAAGGTTTGATAAAACTGAGTTTATCCTTGAGGTTGTTCAGCTCTGTTGTCACAAAATAAAAATGAAACAGGACACTTGGGATGATAGGGAGGCCAGGACAGGCTTTTCAATTGATTAAGAGACCTTTCACTTATCTGGGTAATTTGAAGGTAAACAGCTTTAGATATATTTTAGATATGTGTAAAAACACTTATTATTTTTGTTATATACCAGTACTTCCGATCTCTAATGTGCTTTAAGTCTAAATTTTTAAGCTAAAATCTCAACTGATAAACTAATTTATCATTCAACTCTTCAAGACTAACTAATTATACTTCTCTCAGAATAGTTTTAAATGTTGGGTTTCTAGTAGTTTAACATTTTATCATCAACACAATAGAGAACATAAAGTACTAGTTTATAAGACCCTTACTAGTTACTGATAAAATGACTTACTTGATGTTATCTGTCAGTCGATGTATATTTCATTATAACTTAGAGTAGAGTGGCAATACATAGGTTTTACATGGTATTTATACTAAATCACAAAGGGTTGCCGTTTGCGCATAAAACATTTATATATATAATAACTATACAAAGATTGGGTATGACCATGGTTGTAAATCACATTATTGGTCGATGGAAATGGTTTCATGGTTATACGTCCAATTCTGATCTACTATTGGTCGATAGGAATGGCGCAGAGGCCTTAGCTTTAAGTTTTTACTAAGTTTTTTAGACGTCTGGTTTACCAGACTTTAGAACTTTACGTTAAAAAAGATTGAAGTATATAGGAAAAAGGATGTATTTTTCATTACAAAAGTCAAGGTAATGCCAGGAATTCAAGATTTAAAACATAAATTGTTTAAATTTAAGGTTAAGTTTACAAGCAAGAAATAAAGAAATATAGATAAATAGAAGGGTTTGTGACTTTTCAATATTTACTGCGTTATGCATAAATATTTATTTAATATTCTTCACAGATACATATATATCATTTACACTTGTATAACGGACAGTTTTTCCTGGTGATCAAACAAAACAGTTGGAACCCACAGCTAGGGTTTCCAATCGAGATTTTTTGCACGAAAATTGTGCAAAGATTTTCTTACGTTTTGAGTAAAAATTGCACAAAATTTCAATATAATTTCGCAATTATAAACAAAAGCTATTTTGCGCAAATTATGAGAAATCTTGGTTTTGCGCATTGAAGGATCTGTTCCCCCTTAAACTGGTATCAACTATCAGTGTGTACTTCATCCCTGCTTTTTTGAGTTTCTGTATTCCTTCTTTCAGCTGAGATGTATATGAGAGAAAACAAAAGATGAAGTCTGGGATTAGTCACACATAGGGATGTTAACGTTTTCATTTTTCAGAAAAAAAATCGAAAACGAAGCGATCGTTTTTATAAAATTCGTCAACCCTTCGTTAACAATCGTTAACGACGACCCCTTCGTTAACGATCGTTAACGAAGAGAGTAAACCGACCTGAAGGGCATCTGTACTTATCATTGAGTAGTTTTAAAGAAAATATCAAGGAGTTTTAACTCCCCCAAAACTGTTTAACTTCATGTAAGACGACATTCAATAAAGTTGCATGTATTTTTTTCCAAAAACGACCGTTTTGATAAAGTTCGTCGTTTCGTTAACGATCGTTAACGACAACCCTTCGTTAACGATCGTTAACGACGACCCTTTGTTAACGATCGTTAACAACGACCCTTTGTTTACGATCCTTATGGACGCCTTCGTTACGATCGTTAATATAATTGTCAATAATTTTTTTTAAACGATGATTTTTTTTAAACTATCGTATCAAAAACGGTCGCAAATCGTTTTAATAAAAAAATTGTTTTCAAAAACGATCGCTTTTTGTTTTCTAAAAGTTCAAAACGAGTGGGTCGTTTTTAAAAACGATCGTTTTTTCCGAAAACGAAACGATCGTTTTTGAAAACTAAACAAAAAAACGATCGTTTACCGATCGTACACAAAAACGATTAACAACCCTAGACTCACAAATTCCACTCAGTTGTGTATACAAGTCAAAGTGATTAATATATGTACTAAAGTGGGCCAAACTCATAGTTGGATGACGACATTTTATGTCCCAAAGTACGGTCTGTACTGAGTTTTAAAGATATTAAGAGAGTCTCTCCAGGTTTTTTCCCAGGAAGGGCTTATACAATTTATCAAAAAATTAATCAAATTTTATCAATTTCTTCAAGGTTTATTTATTTATGATTTACCCTTCAAACCGATTATTATAATCTCTCTGATCTCTGTCCTTATCATGGGAATTGCAAAGACGACAGATTACATCAATTGTTTATTTTTCATTATATATCATGATATTTTAACAAGCCAAATACTTTAATATGTTTATTACATCACAATACTTCTTACAAAAACACACGAAATCAGCCTCAATTAGCGTCGCAAATCGTGATGGAGTATTAGCACAAATCCTTTTCCCTTTCTATTATATTCAAGGCATTGGCAACCCCTTGATCTCCCCTTGTGCTAATATTTCTAATTCTGCAACCCCTTGATCTCCCTTTGTGCTAATATTTCTAATTCCGCAACCCCTTGATCTCCCTTTGTGCTAATATTTCTAATTCTGCAACCCCTTGATCTCCCTTTGTGCTAATTTTTATAATTCTGC